TTAATTTTTTGAAAAAATTTAAATGGCAAAAATAGAATAATTGGCACAATTGGGGCTTAAAAAAAAAAAAAAAAAATCGAAAATTTGAAAAAATGGGTCGGCGGGTAATGCAAAACGAAAAATCAACTTTGCGTGGCCCGTTAGCGTTTGTATTTGAGTTTGATGCTAACAAAATATATAGTAAAATTGCTCAAGGAAAACTTTTTATTAGAGCACTAAAGATGGTTTCTTATGTGGATTTTTGAGTTATAGGCGAGTTTTAGCAAAAAACGATTGTTTTTAATTTTTCTGATCGTGTGACGTCAGTGTTACGTTACACCTGATCTTCAACTGTGATTGGCTTTTGGTCACGTTCTGAAAATTTTTGGTGGTGTTCTTGGGGGGATTATACCGACACAGCATGCACGTGACTTATCTCCGTTATCGGCACAGCAAATGATCGACATGAGTACCCCATTTCTAATCCAGTCAAATCGAAACTTTAGCCGACTCAATCGATATAGTAAATGGTCGCCCCAACTAAATTTAGTTATTATACAGTAGCATTCTAGTTATTACCAGTACATATTTCTGGAACGCTATTTTTAAGAATATGACTATACTTTTGCGCAATAATAACATATAATAGATATCATTCTTCCTATATTCTTGTCACATAATATTTATAATAGTATTTATTTTCTGTCACATAATATTATTTATTTTTGTAAAAAAAAAAAAGGTAAAATAAAACTATGCGAAAAGTTTTGACCAATGGTACTCAAGACCATATCTGTGGCATATAGGTATATGTTGCACATTAACCATTGGCCAATTCACTTTTTCATAATTTTTCATACCAACATAGATGATATGATTACCGTTTACAAAATGCAATATGATCAGATTTTTTATATGTATTGGTACTGATTCTAGTGGAAAAAACATTGCACACTTTTCATTATCTGTATCAAAGATGGCTATAGGAACAGAAAAAGTGTCAGCAGCCAATTGTGTACAATCAGGTGACAAAAACCAAAACGAAGGTGAACATGGTGATTTCCAAAACTCTAATATTTGTTTAAGTAATTCAATATTATATCCCGACCAGTTTCTATAAACTTCTATATGCTTATTCAATTGACTATTCATGACCAGCTTAACAAGGTTCCAATTCTCTTCATTTCCTCTAATAGCAACAGCAAGAGCCCGAAATCCACAATTTCCATTGCTTTTTGGATTATAAACTTGATCAACATCATTAATAGGAATTCGAGAGTTTAATAAAATCTTTGGCATTTGATCTATAAAGGATAATTAATTAATAATAATATTATGTAAATTAAATTGATAATATTTAAATTAATATGTAGATTAATGATTTTTGTCAGCATGCTATTATTTTGTCAACGTGCTATTAAAAACGTATACTATACCTTCAACATGAAACATCAAACTATTTTGCGGAGAATTAACATTTTTAATTTGTTTTTTTTTAGCATTATTAGTTTTCATTTTTTGTTTTCTGCTTCCATACGTTCCAATGCAGTTGGTAATCATTTAGTTCCAGAAGGGCAGTCCTATCTTATGATTTTTTCTGAAATCTTTATTTCAGACAGCTTTGCTTCCGGAACTGCTAAAATATCATCAAGTTGTTTTAAAAGGGTCGATTTTTGTTGTTCGTCAGGAAAGTTTATATACTGTGTTTCAATCTCATATAGCCGAGACTTGAGTAAACCATTATCAGAATTAGTTAAAGATAAATCATTCTTTATATAATTAGAATTGTCTTGATCTTCATTAAGAAAATGGCCGAATGTGTGCCTTCAACATGTTGCATTGTCATAGCACCAAGATGCATTATTCTACTGGTGTAAATTCTAATCTACTTCTCTTTAACTTCATCATTCTTGAAAATATTATTTAATTAAAAAGATATATAACGTCTCACCAGAGGGTTAAAAAAAAAAAAAAATTAAAAAAAAATTAAGATTTAATACTTTCTTATCAAAATATTTTATCACTTCGTTTGCATTTAAACTTGAGGAAGCCAGAGTTTTATAGGAGGCAATTGCTAAATTTAGAGTTTTTCATAGTCTTTCGAATAGATAAACCGTTCTATTAGTTTTATAATTTCATCAAAAGAATCATCTATAAAGTGTCTTCTTAAATTCTTCTTAAAATTGTTTATAACATGCCATATGCACAGAAGAATTTTAGATTTAGGAAAAATTTTTTTAAGGGCATCGATTAATGTGGCATCATTATCTGTAATGAATACAGAGGGCAAAATATCAGAAAAAATAAGAGAGGATAGCTATTCAACTACTCAAACATATGATTTCTCAGATTTGTTTGAGATTTAAGCACCAGCTATTCCAAAGGTTTGTAATCGGGTAACTTCAATATTACTAACACCAACGAAATTTACAAATAGAAGTTTGTAAACATTCATTTTGTAGGTTGTATCGACTAAAACAACTTCTGAAAAACGCCTAGCATCTTTAATTGAATTATTATGATAGAAGAAAAAATGCTTGATATGCCCATCTGTATACAAGTTTAATATTTAATATTAATATAAAAATTTTTGACATAATTTTTAACCAAATAAAAATTAAAATATAAAATTTTACCATTATAGTCTTTATGACAAACAGTATAGCCTCTTTTTTCTATATTTATTATTAGTGTTTCCATCGATGAATTTTTCTCTGAATGATAAATTCACGCACCCAAATTAGAAATATCTCTTCTTGTTACAATTGGCTCTTTGTTTTCATCTCTAAGGGCTTCATAAATTATATTAGGTTTGGCACCAGCTTTTAACATTTGCACAGCCATGCATGTTGCATCCTGTGTTAATTTGCGATGTTTATGAAAAACTCTTGCATCTTTAGCTATAGGATAATTATATCCATTTATTACTTTAATGACTTGCGATTTAGAATCTTTTGGAACAGCCTTTAATAGAAATTGACATCCGCAATGCTTGCTCAATTTTTTTTTTGACACGTCTCTATTGTTAGATTTGAAGTATTTCTAGCTTGACCACCATGTTTACACTGAAGATGGAAATGATGATTACTATTACTTTTAGTAGTAACTGCAAACGCGGAACACTGTGCTATTTCCTGAACGATATTGAGAATGTCTTTTTTTGTAGTGTAAATTTGTTCTAACATTTTAATGGCTAATAAAAAAAAATGTTTGTTAATACTTATATAAAGTATTATTATAAATTTTATACAATTCTTTACTTTCAGTTTCACAAATTTCTATTTCATTTTCTTTATTTGATTTGCTCTTATCTTCATTGTTAGACTCTGCCTTATTGTTCTTTTCATTAGATTCAACTTCATTTTCTTTAAATTCGATATGGCTAGATCTGATTTTATTTAAATTTTCATGATTGCACATTTTGTGACAAGAAGCAAAGCAGATGTTGGTGTTAACTTGTAGCAAGAAGCAAAGCAGATGTTGGAATAAACTATACTATAGGTAAGAACAGATTTCTTGATGTTTTCATTTAAAATTTTTATTAGGTTTTTTATTTAAAATTTTTATTGCATATTTAATTAAAATTAACTTTCGATTACATTATTTATTTATCAATCTTATGCATCAATATATTTATTCGTTAATTTTTTATTCTCTGATCTTTTTAATTTCCAAAAAACAATAGTAATGACTACAAATCGTATTTGATTAATTATCGAGGCATATTAAAAAATGGGGTACTCATATTGATCATTTGCTGTGCTGATAACAGAGATAAGTCACATGCATGCTGTGATGGTATAATCCCTCTTCTTGGAGTAGTTCGATTGATTTTCCGAACACATGATGTTCTGAGCCAAAATTAGCCAATGAGAAATCATGATCAGGTGTAACGTAAAAAAAAAATTAAAACAAATGAAAAAATCGAGAATATCTCAGAAATTGATCTAATTAACCACCTTTTGTGCTCTAAGTAAAAAAATTTCTTGCATGATTTTACTATTAAGCCGGTCTTTATAACTCTAAACTGAACTTCA